AAACTGTATATTCTATCACCCTACACCTAAACCTACCCCTTACAGGAAACTTTCTGCATTTTTACAATTTAAAAAACTCTGTTTACTTTATTTTTATACCAGCTTAAAAATGAGGACGTCCCCAAAGGGAGGTTTTTGGAGATTTTGTCATGTTTAGCTCACTTTTGGGTACAAATTTGTCCCCAAAATATGGTTAAGTAGGTACACACACACACACACACACATGTTTGCTGTACAAACAACATTTTACTGTTTGCATTTCTAGTACAACCCTCTTTCTTTAGCTCAAGTATGCAAAACTATTTGCCATATGCACTGTAATTAATATGTTTTATATTTAAAGTAAAATTTTCAAATAAAAATGGCAACGTGATCGTTTTATATATAGTATGTGTTTATATAGCCTATGTATAAGGGCTTCATTTTCACTGGAGAAAACAGCTGTGCTGTGATAAGGGGAGTAATCATTTTAGGGGGGGCTATAGCCCCCTAAAAATGGCGTAGCGACGCCCATGGAGGTAGCTAAGCTATTTACGCAAAGGTGGTGTGGTATTCAAATCGTGACTCACTGGGAGGGAAATCGTTTGACAGGCACTTTCTCAGAGAGAATGTCACAGAACACCCGAAGCTACTGTAGTCAAACACAGCACTCTAATTCATTAGCACACACTAGCCTTATTTTCTCCTGAGGGATTTGGGTGTATGTATTGGGTAAAGCCTAACCTATGATGATATTTACACTGTGCAATTGGGATTTCACTTCTCGTGTGTTCTCACTATAAGGAGGTATATATAATAAGTAACTGAGGAACCACATCATAGCTCTTTCCCAAAACCTAGACAGCTGACTCAGCGTCTACTACCTATGCAGGCAATTAAATTCTAGGGAGCATCCTAACAGCTATTCATCATCATAAGTGAATAACTTGACAACTGTTACTCACACAAATAATGCTCCTCATGCGAAGTGCACAATAGACTCTGCTTAGCGTACACTTCTGCATTTCTTTCAACTTTGTCAACTGTCTTGGATTAATTTTGTGAGTGCTTCACAAAATCTATTGTTAAGGGATTATAACACCAATTTTACGATCCTTCACTACAGCAACACATTAAAATACAAAGCATAACTGAAATTAGGTACCTTATTTTTGCCTCTGTCTTGTTTCTCCTTGCCTAGAAAGTAACAGTGAAAACTGGCTCATCTTACACTCTAAAAAATGCTGGGTCAAATATAACCCAGCGCTGGGTTAAAAAGGGACAAACCCAGCTATTGGGTTGTTTTAACCCAGCATTTTTTAGAGTGTACCTGACTCAGTCCTTTGGAAAAAAGTCTAGACAACTTCATTTTTGCAAGCTGACACTAAGTAGTGAGTCCGTTACCCTTTTAAAAGCAAGGGCAGTGGTCTCTGGTTTTGTAGTCAATGCTTTGAAAAGGCTTGGTGAAATCAATCAATCTGGAGCACAGGGCACAGTCATTTGCATATGCCGCTTCCAGAGCAAGACATCTATGCCTACTTTTGCATCATGGCATCGTTGTCATCGCTGTCGTTGTGCAGCGAGTGGCTCTGACTCTGAAGGAGTAGTTGTTTTCAATGAGATTGCGATGGCAGGCAGACGATGTGCCGTTCCTGGCTGTAGAAAAACAACATGTTTGTAGACGCTGCCGAAGGATCCCGACGTCAGAGAAAAATGTATTCAGTTTATTTTTGCGAACGTCCCAGTCACGTCAGTGCTAATTTATGCGTGTGTTCAGTACATTTCAACGTTGAATGTTTTGATAACAAATCACAGTATGATGCTGGTTTTGCCAAAATACTTTTACTCAAAGAGCAGGCCGTGCCAACTGTTCTGGACCCAACAACGACGCCGCAAACTGTAAGTAATGTAGTTCATGTAAAAACTATTTTTAAAACGGTAATGACGGAAATCGTGGTAATGAAGGTAATGGATGTTAGCCAATCATAAAAGTGGGCGGTTACACTGACCTCTTAAAGGGAAAACACCCCAAAACCGACTATTTCAGTCAGAGGATGAGAAACAGGGTGGAAAAAGTCAATCAATTTTGAAAATTTTCTTCCAAATAACTTTAGTAATGTTATAATTACACCTCAGGGAACATAACAAAATAAAAAGAAAAAAAAACATGTCATGACCTCTTTAATTAACTATGACCAATTATAAATAATTACCAATTATTTATTAAGTATTTATCAATTTATTATCATAGCATGCATCACTAAAATATTTTTCACTTTAAAATAATGGTCCAAATCACCAGTAGATTCTGAAGAGTGATGAGGTAACACTTGAGCAGTAAGTGCTTCACATGGGATTCACAAATAATAATAATAATAATAATAATAATATTAATAATTATTTATATTTAGGTCATTTCTGTGAGGTACACTGACTATTCTAACAGACAATGTTGTGATTTGGAGGATGTGATTTTATGGTTAAAAACACAATATAGATGCTGTTCAACTTTACTAAGGGTATTAAGGTCCATATTGTTGTGGACAAGAGAACATTGTTCTTTATATTCAGATTTTTGAGAGTCCATACGCTCGGACGTCTTTTACTTCCTCCCGATAGTCAAGTTTGATTGTCTTCTTGGCGCTCCGCCAGGGCCCGCGAGGAGCCCCAGCGGGGCCGATCCGAGGACCTCACTAAACCATCCAATCGGTAGTAGCGACGGGCGGTGTGTACAAAGGGCAGGGACTTAATCAACGCGAGCTTATGACCCGCGCTTACTGGGAATTCCTCGTTGATGGGAAATAGTTTCAATCCCCAGTCTGTGTACATACAAAGGGCACTTAATCAACGCAAGCTTATGACCCGCACTTACTGGGAATTCCTCGTTGATGGGAAATAGTTTCAATCCCCAGTCCCGATCACGAGCGGGGTTCAGCGGGTTACCCGCGCCTCTCGGCGCAGGGTAGACACACGCTGATCCGCCCATTGTGGCGCGCGTGCAGCCCCGGACATCTAAGGGCATCACAGACCTGTTATTGCTCCATCTCGCGTGGCTGAATGCCACTTGTCCCTCTAAGAAGTTGAACGCCGACCGCACAGGGCCGCGTAACTATTTAACAAGCCGGAGTCTCGTTCGTTATCGGAATGAACCAGACAAATCGCTCCACCAACTAAGAACGGCCATGCACCACCACCCACAGAATCGAGAAAGAGCTATCAATCTGTTAATCCTTTCCGTGTCCGGGCCTGGTGAGGTTTCCCGTGATGAGTCAAATTAAGCCGCAGGCTCCACTCCTGGTGGTGCCCTTCCGTCAATTCCTTTAATTTTCAGCTTTGCTACCATACTCCCCTGGAACCCAAAGACTCGTGGTTTCCCGCACGCTGCCCGGTGGGTCATGGGAATAATGCCGCCGGATCGAGGGTCGGCATCGTTTATGGTCAGAACTATAACGGTATCTGATCGTCTTCGAACCTCCGACTTTCGTTCTTGATTAATGAAAACATTCTTGACAAATGCTTTCGCTTTCGTCCATTTTGAGAGTCCATACACTCCCTGGGCTGTTCCTAGTGTCACCAGTAGGAACTGTTTCCTACTTGGCTGTTTCCTAAAATGGATGTTTGACCAATTTAAAAGAAACACAGAAAAAGTATTACCGTATTGTCCCGAATATAAGACGATGTTTTTTTCTTGGAAATACATCTGAAAAAACGCGGTCGTCTTATATTCAGGGTCTAGACTTTGACATGTCAATAATACACCCTGAACAATAGGTGGCGCCAAATACGCATAAAACGAGTGTGCCATGAAATACGTAATGTGATGCGTGTCGTAAAGATCGCGAGTAAAAACAAAAGAAGCAGAAAACCTTACAGCTGCATGAGTCGTGACTGTCACGTTAGCCTGATGGCACCAAACTCCCTTTGTGATTTTAAAACGTAAGACAGTACCCAGATTTGAAGACTACAGTAAGATTTAACTTCTACTGTTAATAAGATTTTGGTAGGCTACTATTAGATGGATAGCCTAAATGTCCTAATTCAGATGGGCTACCTGTTTTTTTGTTTTTTTTAATGGTATATGAAAAAGTGTATATTTTTTTTAAATGTGATTGTTGGTACATTTTTCCAGTTTTTACCATACGTTCAAAACAAAAATTAAAATAGGAAAAATATGCAATATGAAAATAATTGAAGACAAAATGTGTTTTACTGAGAAAAAACAAGATTTGGTTTTTAAAAAGCCTTTTTCCAAAAGGTACATCTGGAAAAATGGGGGTCGTCTTATAATCAGGGTCGTCTTATATTCGGGCCAATACGGTAAATAAGCAATAGTTAGTTGGTTATTGTGGTATGTACTGTTCATTAATTAATTTCCACAAAAAAAAAAAAAGGCACAAGCTTCTCAGAAAATGTATTTTATCACCATGTTCAGAGTAAAAAAGCAGCTAGGACTAGCTCATATTTTAGACATGTTAATGTTGTGATTTAGTAATTTACTGGCAGTTGGTCATAGTTAGTAATTCTTAATGAAACAAATCTTATTCACAATAAAATCTATTAATTACTGATTATTTAATCTTTGTTCCATATTATTTAAAGTCCCCCTGTAGTCAAAATCAAGTTTTTTTATGTTGTTTATTTGTCTATGTGGTGTTTTTAATATGCCTTTACGCATCGGCATCTGCACTTCACACGCGAATGCTCGCGGGCGCAAATTAAGAATCACAAACGGTTGTATTCGAGTCTTCAAGGCATTTTAGGACACAACATCGTCAAGTAAGTAACTTTAACGAATGTTACAGTATTCACTGTAGTGGTCCGCTAGTAAAAAGATAGTTTTATCAGTCATTATCCGTGTATGCCATTGTTTTGCGTTTACTACAGTTCAGAGTTTTAAGGGATAAAATATTTGACTACAGGGGGACTTTAAAAGAAGAAGCTGAAGTGTTTATGTATTTCTCCTCATTCGCTCATTTGTCCTGCATTACGTCCTGCTGTCACGCTTCTAGGGACACAGGAACAGACGGAATCGCAGAAGATCCAATATGATTCAAACTAATCCAAACGCAGGAGTACAGGCAAAGAGTATTTTAGACCAAGAGGCGAAACTCTGATGCTTTTTGGGTAACAGCCACTAGGTGGCGCTTCAGTAGCGCGGCCGCCATTTTGGGGTGAAAATTCCAACTGAATAACAGCACAGATACACAGAAATAGACAGAATAACAACGAAAGAGAAGTCAAAGTGGAAATTAATGTATGACAATACTGCAAAAACAGTTTACTGTCAAGCTGTTATATTCCTGTTATATATTTATTGTTATTAATTCAGTGTTTATAATGCTAACACTTGAACTTAAAATATTTTCAACTGAAACTGACATGGAATTCTCTTTTTAGAGAGCAAAAGGTTTTGTGATAAAAGGGAAGACTTTAAAATAAAGTCTGTAAAATAAACTGTTAAAAGGATTTGATGGTCACTAGTCTAGTGATTGTACGTTATTGTTGTCATCGTTCAGGCTGTATTTCATCTTTAATGTACGGTTTTTGTAAACAAAGCAGCTGATATTTGCCATAGCAACAGCTAGAAGCTAGTGGACTGCCGAGTCGCTTTCACCCCAAAATGGACAGAATAACAACGATAGAGAGGTCAAAGTGGAAAAAAAGAACGCAATGTTGGGCAGTCCACTGCAAAAACTATCAGTGTGACAGTAAAAATCTTGCCTTTCATCGTTTTCCCAAAGACCCTGACTCTGAGTAATTATTTACAAAAGTGTAAAAATATAGTGTGTTTTGAAGCGGGACGTAGCGCTGTCTTATGCACCTGCTAACTTTAACTGTTTTTAGTCTATTAGTAAACTTAAATCCTTGTAGGAACTGCAGGTCCTAGCCATAGAAACCATAATAATGATTTATTTGGATATGACTCTAAGTAATGAGCTTAGCGCAGGTTTGTTTACCGCATGCTGCGCTCGTGTGAATTAAAGGGCTTTAACGGCGCGCGTTTTGTAGACTCCGTCGCTATGGAAACAAAGACACCAAAATCAAGCACAAATTAGCTTCTCTAATAGCCTACTTATGAAATGTATTTCATTATAATTGCTATTAGTATTATAAACTAGTGATGTTAGGTTCTTGAACGAATCGTTCTTTTGAGCCGGAACATTATGCATTGTGTCTCTGTCATAATTAAATAATTTTGGAGAAAGTGCACAGTACGTGTGTGTTTTTTTGTTTTTTGTTTAAAGTCTTCCTTTAACGGACGTTAATGTATGACAATACTGCAAAAACAGTTTACTGTCAAGCTGTTATATTCCTGTTATATATTTATTGTTATTAATTCAGTGTTTATAATGCTAACACTTGAACTTAAAATATTTTCAACTGAAACTGACATGGAATTCTCTTTTTAGAGAGCAAAAGGTTTTGTGATAAAAGGGAAGACTTTAAAATAAAGTCTGTAAAATAAACTGTTAAAAGGATTTGATGGTCACTAGTCTAGTGATTGTACGTTATTGTTGTCATCGTTCAGGCTGTATTTCATCTTTAATGTACGGTTTTTGTAAACAAAGCAGCTGATATTTGCCATAGCAACAGCTAGAAGCTAGTGGACTGCCGAGTCGCTTTCACCCCAAAATGGCGGAAGCGCAGGGCTGTTGTTTTAAACCGCGCAGGTTTGTTTACCGCATGCTGCGCTCGTGTGAATTAAAGGGCTTTAACGGCGCGCGTTTTGTAGACTCCGTCGCTATGGAAACAAAGACACCAAAATCAAGCACAAATTAGCTTCTCTAATAGCCTACTTATGAAATGTATTTCATTATAATTGCTATTAGTATTATAAACTAGTGATGTTAGGTTCTTGAACGAATCATTTTCATTGATATAACATTGCATTGAGTTGTTAGAAAAGAAATGCGTAGAGACGTTATTGCTTGATGACGTCAGGAACCGATGAATCGGTTTTTGAACCGGTTCAATGAACCGATCTGTCTGAAAAGAACCGGTTCGCGGAAATGAATCGGACTTTGCATCACTATTATAAACAGTGCAAAATACTTATTTGTTTATTCAAATATGTGTTGGCCTTTGTAAAATACGAGACAAATCGCGTCCCGTATTGTTTTGATACGGGATGCATCATTTTACGATTTTACGACGATTCCGTATTTTAAGGGACGGGTGGCAACCCTACTCTTTGGTACAGGCATGGAACGAAGCATAACATAACATTGACTGAACAGTGAAAGAAACTCAGGGACAGACTTAAACAGGAAACACAGACGAGACTAATGGGTAAACACACCAGACACAAATGAGACACTAATGATAACTATGGGAACACAGGAACATGACCACATAAGGAAAAACAGGAACCCAACAGGAACATAAACGTGACACCAGCAGAGTTACCTATTAATGATGGACAATAATTCTAGTGTTTAAATCAGACATTTGGCATTATCATTATCACTAATAAATATTCCTCAAAATCATTATTAGACATTGCACTACTATAAATACTATTATTAAACATCTCTAAACTCTCGAGTACATTCACTCTATCACTTAAGGCTAAGAAGTTGTTGGATCTATAAGTTGGACTAACTAGGTTTCTCTCACATTTCTGAAGTAAACAGTGCAGATTCAGAAAGGGTAAGAGCTGAACTATTGAACTATATTACTAACTGACAATATCTGCAATTCTTTCTCCCTTTATTTGTATATATATAATTAGTTTTGACAACTAAGCTGGCCCACAAGTAAACCAGGAAATGTCTCAGTGCTTTCTATTGTCAGTCTATCCCTGCTGTCATTCATAAAAATCCCCTGTGCCATGTTTGTTTGTTTATTAAATATTTTAGCTAATCTGATTATGCTTTCAGTTAAGACTGCAGTACACATTTTACCAAGTTTAAATCCATTCTGAAAAATTCCACAGATTTTCCCTCAAATATAAATAACGTCTGCAGATTACAGTACGTCTGGGCCCGGCCTCCCGATGGCAGTGCGTCTACGATGCCTTTAAATGCTGTTTAGGTGCACTGTAAAAAATCATTGTGATTTTAACAGTAAAAGACTGTAAAAATGCTAGAGTAAAAACCTGTTAACTGGTTAACAGTAAGTTTCCATACTATATTCGGTGAATAAATGTAATTACATTTAATGTAAAATACTGTTAAAATACGGTTTTTGGAAGTGAAAAAGAAAAAGCCATTGTATAATTTACAGAGAAAAACTGTAAATTGACACTCCCAGAATTCCCTGCATGACACTACACTGTTTTTTTGTTGTTGAAATGACATGTTTCTTATTTTTTTCTTATCAGTTGTGTACATTAGGGTTTAATCTTACATCTAATGTTGTTAAATGAATGTTTATTGCATTATTTCAGTATCATGTGTGTCACCATGATGGGGTTTAGTGTTTGTGTGAATGACACTGTGCACCTTCTATATATAAGTATTGCCCTCAGCTCGTAGAAAAGCTGTTTGTGATGAGCTTTAGTTCATCATGTGACTTTCTCATCACCACCAGTTTTTGGTGGTTATCAGTGCATTACAATGGTTCAAAACAGATATTAACACTTCAATATGTTGGTTTTTTAAAATTACATCAGTTAATGAAATACGGTATTTTATTGTGAATTTAAGTTAAGTCTGTAAAACCTAAAATGTTGCTACCATATTTTTTTACGGTGAAGTTCTGGCAACCACAGCTGCCGGTATTTTACCGTAAATGTCACAGATTTTTTTAAAGTGTGGGTTTGGAACCAAGCTCATCTGTACACTGCAGTATTAGAGCATGGTGTATTACTGTAAAGATGACAAGTCTCGACACCTCTCATGTCACACGAGTTCCAGATGAAATAAAATTTCCCAATGCCTTGGAAAGATTTCCTACTATAAAATCAGATACCTCCATAAAACCTTCCATACCAAATCTTCACAAAGCCGTTTCCTGGTTCTAATCCTGCATGAATGATGTAGGATTTCACACTAAGTTCAGTCTTCACATACTGGTTCTTCAGTTCATCCATTCCGATATTCCTCCCACTCTTCGTGCGAGCGGTGTTGGTTTCTCTAAATTAGCTTTGCCTCTAAAGCAACACTTTAGAAAGTCAAACATCCTGTAACCAATTCTGACAGGCTTTTCATTCACAAGAGGCACACACGCAACCCGTGTAAATAATTACACCTACTCGGCAAAGGTTTTTTCTTTTCTTTTTTCCTGCGCTTTTGAGTTTCTCTTTTGTCGAGTCACACGAAGTGAGTGGATTGGGCACCCACGTCCACTCTCATGGCTCCCAACTTCACACCTCTCTGCCAGTCCTCCACACCCACCTTCCTCATTTCAGTCGACACAATGTGGAGAATATTGCCTCCCACATGCGTTAAGACAGCTGGCCTTGGTTCCTTCACTGGCCAAAGCATGATTAATCACTTGACAAGACGAGTAGCAAGAGTTGGCTGGAGAGCCAATATAAGTCTCTCAAGACAGATCATTTTTGACCCAAACACACCTGATGATGGACAAACCCTCCCTCAATGTGGAAGACAAATGAGCTGATCAGGGCACAGTCTGGCTGAGATAGAGGAAGAAAAAGTTATGCCACAGCGTGAGTGTCAAGTCAAAAGAAGTTATGGATCGGCAGAGATATCGGCAACAGACTGTAAACAAGAAGCCTGATACATGGAGAACTGAAAACTCATTTTAAAAAGACATTTATACCCATATTTGCTTCCAGCTGACCTGCTCTGCTCTAGCTGTGGTCGTAAACAGATCAATATGCCTTTGCAACCCAGGCTCACGTGCCTCTACCTAAAAAAACACACCTATACATACAACTCACTGCAGTTTCTAGTTGAAATGAACACTAGTGGCAGTAAAACCCCAACAACTTTTATTCTTTTTTTATACAAACCATATTTACAGGGGCTGATTATTGATTAATAAGGAATTATTTCTGTGCAGTTTCTTGCATAATACTATGTTATGATGCCAAAAAGCTTTTAGTGCATGTTCTGTAAACATTTTGACATTTGCATCACATAATCAGCTATACATGGCTTTTCTGATGTTGTAAAGTTGCTCTATAGCTCACCTGGTACAGGTGCAACTTGCGATGCAAAGCGCTTCGGTATGATTTCCATGAAACACAAGAGCATGATAAAAGACTTGTAGAAGCAAGTGAAAATGGCGCGATTGGCTCAGCAAGGTCAGGTTTAGTGTAGGTGGTATGTTAACACGATTGGACATTTTATTTCGAAGCTGTAGCGATATGTACAACAGCCAATGCAATAAAACATTGCCAGATTCATGTTCTTCTGTTTTGATAAAACTGAACTTTACACAGTTGAACTGAACTGAAACAACACTGAACTGACTGGAGCTGTTTCTGGAGCTTATTTTGTTTTCAATACGATATTGATACTTTTAAAGGCCAGTATTGTCGATATCGATATCGATACCGGTACGATACTTCTAAACTGAACTTTTAAAAATGGGTAATGATATCCACTTAACTTTATATTTGAAACACATTGTAAAATTCAATACACCTTAATTGCAACTTATTAAGTAATTTTTTTTTGTTTACACATGGTTAAAATATGTTTACTGTAGTGGTAACCATGAAAATCTACAAATACTATAGTTGAAGTACGGTCACTTTAGTAAAACCATGGTTCATTTTCATAAGGGACTGTCAGTGACAGGCTGTTGCATGTATAAAATGCAACCTTTTTATTCTGTGTATGATTTATACTAACATTACAGAATAGAACATGATCAATATGAACTTTTAACGTTCAATTTAAATAAATGTAATTACACCAACTATGTAGGCTACAATTCCTGTTTAATTATTGTGAAATGACTCAAACTGTTTTTTTTTTCTGTCCTCTGATAAACATTGTTCTGGGCTGCCATTCCCCAAAGCATCAATGCTTTCCTATGATACTTTTGGGAAACGCAGCCATGTTTGAATGCACTGTCATAACGCTCTCTGTGATTTATTGCTTCTGTTTTGCAACATTTGCATGTGTTCAGCAGGAAAATAGTTCTGTCCTATTCGCTAACATATTTTTTTGTTAAATAAACAAAATCACTGCAATATGAACTTTTAACGTTCAATTTAAATAAATGTAATTACACCAACTATGTAGGCTACAATTCCTGTTTAATTATTGTGAAATGACTCAAACTGTTTTTTTTTTCTGTCCTCTGATAAACATTGTTCTGGGCTGCCATTCCCCAAAGCATCAATGCTTTCCTATGATACTTTTGGGAAACGCAGCCATGTTTGAATGCACTGTCATAACGCTCTCTGTGATTTATTGCTTCTGTTTTGCAACATTTGCATGTGTTCAGCAGGAAAATAGTTCTGTCCTATTCGCTAACATATTTTTTTGTTAAATAAACAAAATCACTGGTGAAAAAAACACCTTAGTATCGATATTTTTTATTTGAGCATCAGTATCGATATCGATATTTCAGGATTGATACGCCCATCCCTAACTGGAGCTGAATATTTGAATATTTGAAGTCACTGGTCCTGTTACTTCCCTGTGAAGCTGCTTTGAAACAATCTTTGTATAAAGCACTATATAAATAAAGGTGACTTGACTTGAAAGTGTCACAAAGAAGCAGCGTAATATCATTTTGCAGAAATATTACCACAGGCACTTTTTTTTTCCCAATGAAGCTGGTTTGTGCCTTTTGGTTGTAATGTACAGTAATTGCTTCATACCAAATTCAAGAATGTTCGCTATGGTTGTTGGGACACATTCCCCAGCCAATAGGCCTACTCTAAGACAGATTAACTTAATGCCCTGACTAGAGGAAGGGAATTCTTCACCCAGTAGCCATTTATACTATAAGACAAGATCCAGGTCTAAAAAAGATACTCCAAGATTTAGAGGTCAGCAACATGTCACCACATGCATGATGGATGCAATGTTTGGCCAAGAGACAGAAATTCTTGGCCCCAAACCATCAATGAATATCTCTTTTTAAGAAAAAACAACCTGAGGAGCACATCACTTAGAGTTCTCTGTCATTAGAAGTTTCTATTTGCCCTGAAACAACGGGTCACTTTCCACCCAAAGACAGACATAAATAGCTGGTTCCCTTTCATGGGAACTTCAAACTGCGTCCTCTAGGGGTCGCTATGGGGAACGCCTCGTCGTGACCCCAACATAAGTGAAAATTAAATAAAGGCTATGCACCTTGGCTTGTATGGTTGTATAGTGTTTTTATATATTTATAAAAAAAGAAAATTCCAACTCTGGAAAACAGAAGCTTTGTTATAAAACCTATTGAGCTTCCAGGGCAGCATTTCAAGGCATCATAGATGTGCTCCCATTGCTAAGGCCTGTAGAAATGTTAGGCAACAGTAAAAGAACCTTGTTTTGGTCAAATTCTAAGGCAGCATAGCATGTGTGTATGTATGCATGTATGTATGTGTGTGTGTATATGTGTATGCACTCATTCATTCATAGAAAAGGCAATTTAAAAAAAAACAATTCAAGAGTAATGCAAAACTATAAATATATGTAATCCAATATTGCAAAGTATTAAATAATTCACAGTTATTTCATCCAGTATTTTTCTGTACTATGCATTTTTTTATACCTACTGGAATTCTGTGCCCTTAGCAACATGCAAATCTCAAACTCTAGCCTATAGGACTCAATTCAAGTCTCCAGGCCTTTATGAGAAACACTCAAAAAAAATCAGTCTCCTCCACTGACCAGTTTGTAATACGTTAAAAAACATATGCATGTTCAGAATGAGTAAAACATAGACAGAGATCTTACTATAAAAGGGATCTGGTAAACATATACAGAAAATCACGACACCTTGCATGTGTTTAATGTATTTTTGAATCTAAATAATCATATTTCAGCATTTACATGCTTAGTTTTTCAGACTTATTTGATTATTTCAGGTCCCTTTCTAATCCTATTGAAATTTCATTCAGTTCGATTGAGGTGTTTACATGACAGCTTTTCAATACAATTACCAACAGATTATTTGGGTGCATGTAAAAGCATCTAATCTGAACAGATACAAAAGGTTCTAGTTGTTCATGAACTCGTATTTTGCCTTTGAGCAAGACACCTGAGGTAGCACTAGAAGAACTTCCCCCTATAAATTGTTCTGAATAAAAGCATCTGGTAAATATCTACTTCTATAAACTGTACATATTTGTTGTGTGCACTATGCAAATCGGTTTGACACTGAGGATGGACGCAAAGCGAAGTATATTAAACATGGTCTTTTGTGAAAACAAGTACAAAACAACTTTAGTGACAAGCCAGAGCTCTAAAAAAGTTGGTGGCTTGTTTGATTGAAAGAGTTTCTTGTGACACAGTCTGTCTCGCTTGAACTGTTGACAAATCTCTCAATTGTGGAAAACTAGGCCAGGAAGAACCCAAATGTCACAGCATTCAAATGACACTTTGACAGCAGCCATCATACTGAAGATCAATCCCTCAAACCCAGAGGTCAGGTTTGGATAAAGAGATTGTGGTTTTTACTGAGGCTTCTGTGTAATTTGGTTCACCCATAAAGGCCAAGAGGCATGAGCGCTGGAACCGGCAGGCCCTGGAGGTAAATCAGAACCGCCTGAGGAAAACCCTGGGAACATTGGCGCACAAAGTTCCAAACAACCTTGATGATTCTGTTGTCTGCGTTCACAAACAAGACATTTGATGCACTTGGGAAAAGTTTTCAGACTGTGCGAGAGATCTTGAAGACCTCATCATTTGCTACTGGGCAGCTAACGCATTAACAGTCCAAACATTTGCAGAATTTCATCTTCGATTTATTTCAGTCTTTGGGCGTTTCAGTTTTTAATTTGTCCTATAAATTGATTTCAGAGTATGTTTTTTTTCCACCTCAGATTCATTCTCATTTGATTAGAACAACTGTAATTTCTTTCCATGTTTTTTTTTATAATTTAATCGGGTGCCTGTCTCTCTGAGCACATGGCCTTTGTTTCACTGAAAAATGGCTTCTGAATTTCTCCCCTCATCACTCTTGCTTTTCAGCACACATGAATAAAACATTTTCCGCAATTTTAATCTTATTGCTTTGCTTGAAAAATTTGTCTGAATGCGCACAACTTTCTGTTAGAGACAGAGATGTATATTTGGGCTCAGTAAGATTTGTTTTTGAAAGATATTAATACTTTTATTCAGCAGGAGTGCATTAAATTGATCAAAAGTGACAGTGAAGACTTTTGCTTAGTTACAACAAATGTATTTTTCAAATAAAAGCTGCTCTTTTGAACTTTCTTTTCATCAAAGAATCCTGAAAAAAAGTGTAACACGGTTTCCGCAAAACATTCATTCTTTTATTTATTTATTTATTTGCTTGCATTCATTCATTCATTTATTTATTTGCATAGTACCAAAAATATTGACTAGAAATAACATGTTTTATTTATTTTAATAAACAATGAAATGCTCTGCCTACTAATCTGAATATTTGGGTGGAGTTTATATTGCCCTCATACTTTGTGCCTGAGGTGGGGAAAGAAATGTTAAGAGTTCAGCAATAAGCATTTAAAATAAAACGATTTTTAAAAATCCTGACACATTCAGGCACAAATTGCACCGCTTCCTGAGAAAGAACCAGCCACTTTCGCTGCTGTAGCATTTCCCTCTTTACATGAAATGCATCTCAAGCTTTTGACCTAGATGAAACATATATTTGCCAGGGGATTTTGTAACAGCCTTTGAGGAAGTCATATGAAATATAATTTCACATCACAGCAGAACATGCAACATTTTACTCTGAATGCTAAGAAGGTTTCACACAATCGAATCGGAAACCATTTGCAGTAATACACAGTTGTCAGTGACATGACAAATCTATGTACCAATTCCTAATATCATCTCACAAACAAAGAGCAGAAAATTGAATGGTTCATTTCTGAATTTGAGTTGCATTACAGCTGTGCCAGCCAGTCACAGAAGATCCATGCATGAAAATCATTTTTCTTGTGCCACATACACAATCTTCTTAATTAGACTCCCGTAACAGGAAACAAATGCATACCTTTTGCTGCAGATGGAGTAGTTACATGCCCAACCATACTGATGATGTTCATAGAAATGTCAATTGTCTAATGTGAATTTGAGTCGGAAAGAAACACGAATGTAATGGAACGCAATCAAACATTTATGTTGCCTTGAGCAATGAGCTCTTTGAAAAAACTAAACAAAACCTAAAACAGCCATGTACTGCTTTAAAATCATACCTATAGACTGCAAAAGTAAATAAATCAAAATAATATTAGCATTATATTGTATTTGGTTTCTCAACCAAACAGAAATCCAAGTGATGGTGATTTATTCCATATTTCAAATAGTTTCTAAATCGCATTTGGCACCTGCTCCGCCAGCTTACCACGATAAAGGGCAAAGGTCCATGGATTTTTAAAAGAGAGGTGGCTATTGTTAATATTTAATGCATCTGGAAACAGTAATTAAGTCTTCCCCACAGGAAATGGAATTTGACATGCTCTGGAGAGCCAGTGAGTAATTATATTTGTAAAGAGCAGTGATACAAGATACTCCCCCCTGACTAGAAGTCATTACACGCCATTAAAGGGTCCCAGCAAACCTGACCCAATCCACACGAGCGCATGCGCACCAATCGATGCCCAACAAGACAGGATTTCTATTTGACTCTGGCCAAACTCTGTCTCTGATCAAATCTGAGTGCCACAATATTCACATATCCCATCGGTCACAAACAACCAGACGCCCCGTCCGCAGGACGCCAACAGCAGGAAAGACTCGCCGGTGATCTGGCATTTGTAATTAAATATTAAACCAGTAATGAGTTCTCAGCCATCTACATGGTGTGGAGTTCACATGCGAAAGTCTCCAAATAGGGCCCCTGGAGCAATAATTATCACATCCACAGGACAGGTGGAAACGCTGCAGTGAGATGATAAAACTCCAGCGAGACTTATTAAACAGGCTTCGGTAATAAAGACTGTACAGTGCGGAGATCTCTGTTATTGTGTTGCAAATTTCCAGGCTGTATTCGTTCACATCTAGAGTGCTGTTTTCATTCTAGAGTGTAATTTTACATCCTTCTCAAATAAGGCACATCCATACATAAATGCATGAATTTTACATCAAACCCGTGTAACCTACATACAGCCGTGTTCATGGAGCATACATAAGTCAGAATAGCCACAAGGTAAATGAGGAATCTTTTACATACTGTATAATTCACTCCTCGTACCTTTAAGCTGCATAATTAAAAGGAAGCTCTCTCTCTCTCTCTCTCTCTCTCTCTCTCTCTCTCTCTCTTGTTAATATCCTATTATTTATTTATTTTCCTTCCTGGAATTGTTCAGTCTGCTCTGAATTTCAATTATATCTGCAGCAGCTATCACTATGCAAATGAAGGGTGTCCTGAGTTTTAATAAAGTGAAAATGCAAAGTTCACAGCGCTGCCATCATTCCTGTAGAGACTGTATCATTAGCAAAACACATTTTGTAAAATATATGCCAAATGTGACCTGTTTGAAAAAAAAAGAAAAAAAAAAATTTAAATCAGGAAGTAACTGCTGCAAGTAATTGTTATATTTCACACTAGGGTGGGTGGTATTAAATGTAATGGCATAAGTCATTTTATATCACTCTCATGGCATATAATGACCGTCACAAACATCTAACCAATCCTGTTAACTTGTGGCTGGGGCTTTTCATATCATTAGCATGGCGAACGAGAAGATGGTTTGTGTAAGATTAGCAACACATCATAGCTGTTTGATAAGGTAGTCAAGCCAAAGGCTAATGATATAAATTACCGTTACGTATCAAACATTGTAGAGAGCGATACATAAAATGCAATGCCATTCTGATACATGGACTTGTAGACGGCCATGCATAATTCACTGTTCCTCTTCTTCTCCAGGAACAGTTTCTTGTTCAAACATTTAATCCAATTAATCCAGTAGTGCCACCTGCCATTTTGAAGCATTTACTACTTTAGTTAACCGAGTGGAAGTGGAGCAGGTAGTCTGAGCTGGTGTTATGGAATGGAGGAGGGGACAAATTTGCATATTCATAGTTCTGCGTATACTAAATGAGGTAAGGGTGTAGAGTTATATTCAAGCTATTTTGAGGCATCAATAAATTATTTCCACAGGAAAATGTTTCAATTTTTATTTTGATTATGTCAGCAGAAAACTCATATTTTACTCTCATGTACCATTTCTCCTTCATCTGCAGGAGATGACACTGTAGAAGGAGATTTTTTTATTTTATTTTTTTATATAATATCTTGGGTCAAGAAAGAGTCAGAATGTACAACACGTATTTCCACCTCCCCTACAGCGTAACACTGGCATGTGCTTAATTCTCAACTCATCATGACAGATAGTTGTGAGCCACAATGAAATCTTTTGTAAAATGCTTGATGTATATAATTCAGCTGCTAGACTTTGCTTTGGATGGTGCCTAAAAATGACCGTTTTCAAGTTTTTTCCCCTTTCATTTTCACTTGTTTAGGACATATTCCACTCTCCAGATGTTCAGATATATCTACAGCAGGAAACAGTATAGCAGAATCTCTACCTGTGGGCTTGCCACCAAAAGTTTGTAGGTTTGAAACCAGCAAGGAGTCACACATAAGCTCTTGATCAAGACATATCACTTTAAGTTACTCCAGAATGATTGGCGCTTTAATATATGCATACAGAATAAAGCATCTGCTAAATAAGCACTTAATTAAAGCTCCTTAGTGAAACAAACACTTTTCTTTTTGGTTTATGCGATATATTTAGTTTCAGTATTCATTTATTGGCTTTATAAACTGCTCTCAAAATGTAATTTATTGTGCTTATGTTTCAAATTAATGCATAACTGGATGACTGAACATTTTTCTGGACAGCTTTTAACAAGTAATAACACTGTGCAAGCCATAAAAATAAAAAAAAAATCACTGAACTCTGGCAAGAGTTTATACCGCTTTGAGCAGTGCTCTTTAATTCAGTTTCTCTTCAAATGTTTCTGCATTCTTCCCTCAATGGTTTACATTTATTGATTCAGCAAAAAGCATTCAACTTATCATTCAAGTAAATGCAAATAGTCTTAATAATGAACACAGAACCACAGGCACCCAGACATTAGCAAACATATTCTTGCAGTAGTCATTCTCTGATGAGTTATTAAATGCAATTGTTCCAGTATGGCTGCTCCTGGAAAATGTTATATAACAAAGAAAAGTGCTTACCTAGGACGCCGACTCGAAAGTTGAGTGTGATAACGATGACGTTCCCGTAACTGGCCAGCACGCTTCCGTCAATCATGTTTCCGGTGCCCTCCATGTACGAACCTCCATGAATGTACACCATCACAGGCTTGGCTCCGGTATCTCGTATGTCTGCAAGAGTGGCCACCATTAAACTCTCACTCCCCCACTGCCCCATCAGAGCAAGATTCAACACAGCAATGCGTCTCACAGTCCTCCCAGATACCAGCCACCAGCTCAATTACAGCTTGAGATGCATCTCATATCAGCCGAGTCATTTGTCTCTCGTAATGAACAGTATGCGCAAAACAGATATGAACAGATGAAGCCATAAGGAAGGTCAGAACCTAACTGGCTATCGCAGGCGGCTCTAACATGCTTTAGTGGCCTAAATGATGAGATCATCTCAAATTTAATGGCCTTGTTAGACTTCACTGCTCCGGCACACAGCCACAGAAGGGTTTAAAATGAACAGCAATTGGCGGGCCAAAAATTCTTATCTAATAGCGGAGCACGCTGAAGGAATAGTTCAGCCAAAAATTTAAATTACCTTCATATTGTTCTGACCCCTATTGTTTTGCTTACGTGAAATGCAAAATCGTCATAGCCAAAAGTGAATGGTGCTTTATATTGCCAAGCTCTAAAAAGGACAAAAACAACCATAAAAGCAATTCATTCAAATATTCCACATGTTCTAAAGTCAAACCCAAATGTATGCCATTATTCCCTAAAAATACTTTAGTTAAAAAATCGAGCAGAAGGTGACAGCAGGTTTGACATTATTGTTGCCAAATGCATTTGGATCTCATACAGTGTAACCTCATATCGTGTAGAATTCAGAAACCCTTGTTATCAGCGGCACCGACGGCAGTTAAGTAAATTGCAGCCAGCAAAATATTTGTTAGCGCACACACTCATGCATTTAACAAACAAGAGGCTGGACGTGATTCAGTGCCCCAATATACTCAGTGAAGTTCTTTTTTTAGAAGTAAAAAGAAGTTGGAAATACTTTTGCAGTAATACACTGTTGACGGATATCTTGATGCCTCCCACGCTGATGAGAGCGACATTTAGATGAATTTGTAAATATGTGTTGCACAGCAAAAATGACAGCGGTGAGAAAGCAGCAGTTAGGAAAGCATCTAATCATAGCGATGTGGATATGTTTGCGCCAGCTCTGCACTTTTCCAGTCTGGCATCATGTCGACAGATGAGGTAATAAAAGTTACACTGTGCATGACACATTGCCACTACAGTACAGAATAGCTCTTTTGACATTAACCTGAACACTGTATAAGCATTTGTTTTGGAAGAGAGGTTCTCGGGAACGTGCGTAAACGTCACGTCCATTTGATTTCACATAAAAATTAGTCTACAGGCTTTCATAGACAACCTAGGAAGTTGGGGAAGGTCTCGTTTTTTTAAGTTTCATTACAAGCTATTCACACATTGGCAATAAAAAAGTGATTAACACATGATAATTCTTACATATAGCCCCTTTAAAAAAATCTTTAAAAAAAAATCTTAATTACTTAAAGGCAGGGTATGTGATTTTTCAAAAACACTTTAGAAAACTGATTCGGGCCGAATAGCAAAACAAACTTGTAGCCAATCAGCAATAAGGGGCATGTCTACTCGTGATGTGGAGGAGAGAGCTTTCAGTGCATGGGACGGACATTAGCCGAGCCGAGCGACAGAAAGATAGAGATGGCGGATAAAAAACAAAAGAGGAAAACGTCTGCGGAACGACAAGGCAAGAAGTAGGACCCGTGTAAATATCGGATCAGCTTTCCAGAGCTGGAGAGAACTCAAGGAGCGGAGGCCTGCGATCGGACGCCGAGGTTGCTATGTTTCTTCTCAGTAGGTGAGTAACACCGTGTCTACAACAGCTAAAGTCTGACTACACTGGACGCGATCAAACGACCGTTGAAAACCATTTGAAATGTATGTCAGCACGTCATAAATAGAACCCGGCAGCAGTTTTCTGTCGGGATTTGTTGCGCCGCGCCGCTCACGTCCGTAGACACGGTGTAACATTGGTTTTGCTTTGTTTCACAGAACTAATCGTTGCCTGGGTTGCGTACGTATATGTGGGGCGGAGCTATCAAAATAGGGGCAATACCCTTTTGGGGTAGGGGCGTGTTTGTTTTGGTGATTTCAAATATCAACATTGGCTACCAGAAATCGCTTACTCTGCCTTTAAACGTCAGTCGTTCCTCAAACAAAGCTATTATTAGAATATTCTTCATACCTTGTATGGACTCATTTTTGGAGCTTGACAGCACACCACCATTCACTTTCATAATAAGGGAAACAGAAGCTTGAACATTCTATCAAAGATCTCCTTTTGTGCTTCCCAGAAGAAAGACTGTATGTAATACAGGTTTAGAAGAACATGCTTCCTTATTTCTCTTAATGTTTTTATATAGACATTAATCAATCAACCATTATCAGTTTGTTATTTTCTGCTAATGACATAATATTAAACATAAAAAAGAGCACAAGCTGGGAAAATTGTCTCTCTACTGAGATGAAAGAGACAGAAGCCTTGAGAAGCGAGCACTGCTGGGCTAAGACTCAGAATGCTGTATTGTATTGAGAGTTGCCATGGATACGGCAGATCAAAATTCAGAATCTTTGAGAATGGCTAATCGCAAACACCACTCCAGTGCATTTGCCCCCGTTTGCATTCAAGCCCTCCTATTAAAGATGCGCCTATTTGTATGTATGCGGTCACAGCAAATTACCGGCTGGCTTTTTCTTGCAAATAAAGCATGTTATTTGCAATCACTGTGCCGCTATCTGCGCTTAATGTCTACTTTTGCAAGAACACATTCGCACATTACACTCCTGATCTGATGGAACAAGCGAGAACTGATTTGTATAGAATTTTTCCATTTCAGATCCGGCAGCTGAAAAATTTACGGTTACGTTTAAAGATTTATCTGGTATCTGAGAGAAGTATGATAAGGCACTGCTTTGAAATGACAATTCTCTGTTGACACTTATCGTACGGAAGAAAGACAATGTATGGAGTGGGAAAAAGAAGGTGAGAGAGAAAAAATGCACACGACTTCCTGCACAAGGGATGCACAGGATGAGATATTGAATGAAAAAGATCAATTAGAAAAAACAATACAAAGATTAGTCATGTCAGTGTTATCAGTAACCTCTTTTGTTGATTCACATCATGTCGGAATGATGTGACATAAAAAAAAAAAACCCCACAATACTCTGCTAACTGATCTCTTCTCTACCAAATATTCATATTTAATGTCAACATCGTAATCCCATTAAAGACATCTTGAACACATAAGATTCAGAATTCATATCCTGAGGAAAAAGAAGAGAAATATTGATTAAAAGACATTGTAAAGACAATTGCATTTCACAAACACATCATTTGAATAAAAAGGACATACATGACCTTGTACAGAAGGGGTGAAACTATAGAACATTAACTGAAATGTCAGCTTTATGAATGTACAGTACAAATATGTTCTTTGACATGAAAACATGACTCATTCGCTATGATACACAGACACAAACTCACAAACAAATGCATATGTTTCATCTTCAAAAGCAGAGGGCGTCATGCATCTATTCTTTTATATAACCTCCATCAATCATCTCCAAGTGAACTAAAGACGGTGAAGACCCCTGCTTCCATAAATGAAACAACACTTAACACCTCTGAATGCACGATGGGTAGAACGACCTTCTTCACAAAGTCTTCTGCGTCTCCATCAGAGTTGTGGTTAGGGTGTTAAAATATGGTGGATGTCAGACCTGGGCGGTAGCGCTCAGCGTGTCTGCAAAGCTCAGGAGGAGGACGCGTCAAGCTATCTGTGAACCTCTCAAAATTCTCAATGGGCCACCTCTCAATGGCCTGTCACTCTAGAGGAACTGGACAGCGTGAGCACTGATAAGTGGCCCAGACTAGCACTGACGCTGTAAAACATGGAATCTGTCAAACATTCTTATTGTGAGCATTGTATGAGCTCCAAAGTCGAGGTTTTGACTTTAGACCCCACTGCTGAGCTCATCACAGATAACATAAATGTTAAAGATCGACAGTTTCAGGTCAGACTGAATATTTCTGAAGCCAGCATAGCTCGGACCCTGCAGGAAAATGCATATTATACACATGGAGCCTTTATACACCGTCTACCTCAATCTGTCTACAACTATATATATATATATATACTGTATATATTTTTTTTTTAGAGAACATGAGTGGTGCTTGCTTTTGCAAATCTCACTACCCCAATGCTAATGCTGTTAGAACATTGCTATGCGTTGTTGATGTGGCTTCTAGGGTGTTTTGCAAGTTTGTTGTGGCCAAAATCATGTACTGTTAGAGTTGTTTGATGAAGAACTCTGTGGCCATTAAAAAATTATGCTCTATTAAGTACACATTAATAGGATTCTCTAGCTTCATTGAATAGTGGAGTGTCCATTGGATGGACATATCCAAAAGTAGAATGGCATATGGGTATTTCTTGGGTACTGTTTTATGGACATGCTACTCATTTCACACACTGCTTTTTGCAAGCAGTTTAGTAAGAGAGTAGGCATATTGGGGTGCAGGGTATGATGATACTGCAGTGCTTTAAATACAAGTTAATACAAAATAACACATATTGGCCTAAGTGAAATGCAAAAGGTTTGCATTTGGCAATTTGTAGACTTTGATTTCAATGGCTCAACCTCAATCCAGATGGGATGAGTGACCTTTGAAGAAGGTAAGTTCTTGAGACTGGGCTGCGGTGTTTGTGCATTAAATATAATGGTACTAACACAGAGACAGGTGGTTTGATGTGCTCTTTGAAGCCCAGCTTCTAGCAGTGAATGAGGAGGAGGGAGAGACCAAGAGAGAGACAGAAAAGGGGGGAGGGTGAGTTTCAGACAGTTCTGAAACTCACTGCACCACCACGCAGATGCCACGTCAGACACCTCACACGCTACGAACCAAAAGCACTACCACACACACACCTGCAAAGAGCTTATAATTATGCAAAATGACCATACTCTCAAGAATTTGTGACAATGTCCTGAGACTGATGCCAAGGAATATAGACTTTTACAAATGTGAGTGCCGTTTGCCCATGCAAAATCTACCACCACACTGCTAGGGTGTCTGGGTGGTTGCTTAAGGTCTGTTCAGACCAAACCGAGCAACCCAGGCTCATTGGAAATACATGGTTGTGGCGATCTTTCTGCAACACCAATATTACGTACCTTACTTCATGTTTCACAGCAAGTGAAATGTCCAGTGAGTAGTGGTAAACTCGCATTTAATACTTTAATTGCAAATTGTTTTTATTGCAAGCACATATTGCTGCATTTTTATTATGTTGCTTCAGGTACATATTGTGGTGTTTTTGTTACGTTGCTTCAGGTACATATTTTGGTGGTTTAGAATTCAGATGTCTGGGCAGGTTCGCTAAAAATGTAATGCTCTATTGTGTTGGAAAATAACATACCTCATACACCAAACCCTGAACCTACCTGATAGTGTTAACAAATGCAAAAGTGATATAAA